TGATTGTGTTCTTGTTCAATATTGTTTGGGATATACATGTTCTTGAACGAGGTGGTAGAGCGGTAAAGAACTTTGAATGAACAGGAAAAAAAACAAACAATAAAAACAAATGCTAAAGTATATGATAGATTTAATAGTACCATGATGACCATACAGCAAATGATGACTAATATCTCGTTAATCTGAGCCATAGCTTGGAGGACAAACCATTCCTGATGCTCTATGGTCCGTCAATACATACACACACAATCACCTGCTAAATACACTACACTCACGCATTGTCATGTACTTCTAGGAGAAGAAACATGGCGAACAGGAGCAGCTAGCTCAAGCATACCTGCTAAATACACTACACTCACACATTGTCATGTACTTCTAGGATAAGAAACATGGCGAACAGGAGCAGCTAGCTCAAGCATACCTGAGAACAGCACGCAAGGAACACAAGCAGATGTTAGAAAGGAAAGCTGTAATTGAAGCTCGTAAAGAGTACCTGGAATCACTGCATGTTGAAAGGGTATGCTGCRCAATTAGTAGTTTGTGGCTTTGTTTGTCATAGTTTTATTCACAGATTGTCCATTGGTTGTGATACAGAATGATGACACTGTTGGATGTCCTAATGTCCACCAATGTAATGAGGACAACCTTCATCACCCATAAACTGATAGCAATCCAGCCATCTTTACTATAATGAATACTAATAATACCAAGTGAAACAATGTTATTAATAGTTTATCTGTTTAACTAGGAGAGACTAGAAGTCCAGCGGCAAAGGCAACAGCAGGCAGAAAGCCTCCAAGCTGAGCAGAAGCGTCTTGAAGAAGAAAGAAGAAACAGAGAAGTTCAAAGACGTAGACAAGAGCTTCAGGACATCGAGAAGAAACAAGCCATGGATAAGATAGCAGCCTTGAAGAAGACTACWGTTGGTGCTAAGGCATTGAAAGACTTGACTCCTGAGGTTTGAGAACTATTGTATGGTTATTGACATATATTGWAGCAATAGAACAATGATAGTAACACTGTTCTCAAAATGCAAATGATGATAATACACAGCTTATCTTAACATCCACCAATGTTATGAGGACAACTGTCATCACCCATAAACTGATGCAATCTCACTCACAACACTGAGGTTACATTTTAAGCCTTGCATATCAAGTGAATCTTGTTGTTGTCTGTGTAGGAAATTGATGCCATGAATCCTGATGACATCATTGCGCGCCAAGTAGAGCAGCTTGATAAGGAGAAGAGAGAACAGCAAATCCGCTTGAAGACTCAAGAAAAAAAAGTAATACAGCTTGTACTGAATGGATATGAATAGAATGAACAAATGAATGAATTAATGCAATCCCTTCGTGTTCTCCTATAATAGGTGGATTACTGGGCACGTGCAATGAGGCTTGAAGAAATTCCTTTTCTCAAGAAACAGTATGAAGAACAAATTGTTGACGATCAAAAGTTCTGGGAAACTGAAGAAGAGAAAAGGGTATTTTCATTTTTTAACGTTAAATTTAAAGTAATTTTGATTTCATTTGATCGAGTAATTATTTGTTTCAATTTATAGATTAGTGATGCAATTTCTGAACACAACAAACTGGTTGAGACGTCCAACCGTCTGCGTCGAATGGAAGACGACAGGAATGCATTCATCAACTCGTTGATGTCATCTCGAAATGAGAACTATGAGGTACAACAAAATACAACTCATATCATCAGGTCACTACCATTTCACCAATGTCCATTCGTCATCTTGTTAATTTTTTTTATTGTTTGTGTCTGTTGTCCTAAATCAACGCTATTCAAATYGATTCCTGCCCTGAAGGTTTTCAACGTCAAATAAAAAGAAAATAGATTCATGGTTGAGACTACAACAAGCGTTTTTCTTTCAAMAACAGGGGATCTTACGTCTTTGAAACATCATGTTACATTTCACCGATGCAAAGTTTTAGAAGGTTTTATCTTTTTTGATCTATTTGCAGTCCAAGCTTAAGTCCTTCCAGGAAATGCTGTCGCAGAAGCGTCAAGAGAGGCTGCATGAGCGTCGGCTTAAGCGTATTCAAGAAAGAAAGGTGCAGAAGAAAAGAGAACAAGAAGAAGCCATCAGAAGGGAGAGTGAAGAGAAAGAGCGACAAGGTTGGTTTCGCAGGTTGATGGTGGATTATTTTACGAACAAAGAGATGTTTTTCATTGATTCATGAGGATTTTATTGAATTAGGTGCCATGCATGATATGACACTAGAAAATATATGTGGGATTYGAACTGATTACCCTCCGGCAGCTACCAATCAGATATTTTAAACGCGGAGCTTGCTTGACCTTGGTAGCCACCATGTTGAAGAAATACAATGCTTTTTATTCAAGTTCATCTCTATGTTTACAGAGAGAGAAGAAAAGGAAAGGAAGGTCCGCGAAGAGAAAGAAGCTCGTGAACGCGAGTACCAAGAGAAGAAAGCAAAGTTAGACGAGATAGCAAGGAAACAAAGAGAACGAGAAGAGGAAATAGAAAGACGTGAAAGAGAAAGCCGTGAACAAGACGTGGACAGACGTGGAGGAGGAAGAGTGGAAAGGGGAAGTGGAGGAGGAGGAGGAGGAGG